GCCTGACCCTAGGGACTCGGGAGCCAGGGGAGATCTCCCTAAGCTCCCTTGGCAGACAGTGCTTACTCAGCATGACAATTATGTTTTTTTTTGAGAGATAACATAAAGATAGAAGAAAATTATCTTGCACGTAGTAAAGGCCACTGGACTAAATAGAAAAGTAAAACAATTGGAAATATCTGTCTCCCCTTTGGAAACATGCACTTGATATTTTATCTGAAATGATTTCAATTCGGTCCAGCCAGAGCATTTGTCCTGATACCAGCAGGAGTTCCAACTGCAGTTGGAATAAAGATGCTGCACACAGAGGAGGGAAAAGAAAAAGATGAGCTTGCATGTGTTTGTGTGGGTGTTCATCTTGTCAATTTCCCCAAACCCACATGCCATCAGACACTAGTCAGACACCCTTTGACATGGAAAGGGTGGTTGTAGACAGCAGCCCACTCCTGCTCAGATGTCTGAAACACATAGGAACCCTGCAGGAAATGACAACCCAAACCCAATTTTCTACACTCTCAGTTGCCACACACAGACTTTCTCTCGCATCACTCCTTAACCCATGGGAATCCAGCTTCTCTCTCCGTTATTGGTAAATACATGAAGAATGGAGTGGAAGGAAGTCTTTGAAGATTGTACTTAATCTTCTGGTAAAGCATATCTTCTGGACATAATATTTTTTGAAAGTATGATTCAGCCAGTAAAACAATCTAATTAATGCTTACCAAAACCCTGTGTGCTAATTTGTACTACCATCTTGCTTTTATGTAAAGTGTATTGCTTACTGGATTGAAATTGCATTAGACCAAATGTAGCAACAGTTTTAAATAATTCATTGAAGTTGTTTGCTTCTATGAATAACTTCCTGATGGTTTTGGCTGCACATGGTGGCTCATGCCTGTAATCCCAGCACTTTGGGAGGTTGAGGCAGACAGATCACTTGAGGTCGGGAGTTAGAGACCAGCCTGGCTGACATGGTGAAACCTCATCTCTACTAAAAATACAAAAATTAGCCAGGTATGGTAGCACATGCCTGTAACCCCAGCTACTCAGCAGGCTGAGGCAGGAGACCCACTTGAACCTGGGAGGCAGAGGTTGCAATGAGCCAAGATCGCATCGCTGCACTCCAGCCTGTCTCAAAAACAAAACAAAACAAAACAACAAAAAACTTGCCTGGTGGTTTCCATTCACCAAAAGTTAATATAACAGGGAGGCTGCTGTGACATGTAGGAAGTGCATAGCTCCTGGAGTCGGGGCTCCTGGATAATCTGTAGATGAATATGCCACTGTTCCAAGTCTCAGGACTCACGTCTTTGAAAATCACAGAATGATATTTACATCATCAAAGAAATATCTGGGACAGGAACATGGCATCAGGAGCCAGATAGCCTGGGTTTAGATCCCAGCTCTGATACTATCTATGAGACCTTGGGCAAATTATTTACCCTCTGTGACCCTTTGTTTCTTCTTCTCTGAAAAGGGGATAGTATTAGTCCCAAGGTATAGGATTGTTACGAGGATTAAATGAGTTAATAATATAAACTAGTTACACAGTACCTGATATATCATAAGTACTATGTAAGTGCTTGATTAAGAAAATAAAATCAATATCAAGGTTAGAAGAATTACTGCAAGGTGGAGGAAGCACTGAACAGAGTTCTCCAGTGGGAGTTCTTCCTAAACCAGAACAACAGACATGGCAGCTTCCAAGCAGCTGAAATCAAAAGGCTGTACCTTTCCTCAGTAAGCTCAGAGACTCTTTCATATAAATGTCACTCCATCCACTTTGCTTGTGTTTCTCTACCTATCTGCTGTCCTCCCCTCCTATTTAGTGATTATGGGAAACCAGTCACAGAATGTGAAATAAAGTTGTGGTTCAGAAGAGCAAACTCATTTCTGAACAGAATATTTCAAAGGAAAAAGAGGACCTTGGCTTTGACTTTCTGGTATATTTCACTGACTCTGCGAACATTATCAAGGGAGAGATTCACACTTTAAAAAGGCCACTTTCTACTTCCATTTAGGAAGCTTTACTCAGTTTAGAAGGGAAAAGAGCTAATGCATACTGGGCTTAATAGCTAGGTGATGTGTTGATAGGTGCAGCAAATCACCATGGCACATGTTTACCCATGTAACAAACTTGTACGTGTACCCTGGAATTTTTTAAAAAGTTAAAAAATTTTAAAAAGTCATAAAAAAGGAACTAAATAAACCACATAGGCTAGTTTAAAAGTATAGAGCAATTCTTGAAGAGTTACAAATAGCAAACAAGTGTTTTCTAATTATGCTCCAGTGAATTTCTGAAACTTGCCAAAAATTCCCATTGTTTTAATATTTGTGTGCCTGTCTAGTCTGGGTAATTTGCAAGTGTGAATCCATATAAAAGAGCTTTCTTTTTTATAGACACTCACATACCCCATAAATGCCATTTGAGTACTTATTTAAATAGAGAAGTATCTGTTAAAAATAAAGATATCCTGACCAAAGCGGTTGCATAGCAATGGGATTTCATCCATTGGAAGCAAAGGAGAAATACGACTTGGTCCAACAATTTGCACATAAGCAACAATTGTTAAATCTAATATTAAACATGCAATGCTTATTTTTCATTTACATGTATATAACATGTATGCCATATAAAAACAGGAAATATAAAGAAACAAATTTAATAAAAATCAGAATCAACATGTGGTAGAATTGTGACTAGGAAATGTGTTCCCAAATTACACAGCCATGCTTCTTGTAATTCCAGCACTTTGGGAGGCGGAGGCAGGTGGATCACGAGGTCAAGAGTTTGAGACGAGCCTGACCAACATGGTGAAACCCTGTCTCTAGGAAAAATACAAAAATTAGCCTGGCGTGGTGGCACTTGCCTGTAATCCCAGCTACTCAGGAGGCTGAGGCACAAGAATCGCTTAAACCGCGGAGGTGGAGGTTGCAGTGAGTCGAGATTGGGTCACTGCACTCCAGCCTGCGTGACAGAGCGAGACTACGTCTCAAAAAAAAAAAAAAAATCAGACTTCTATTTCTTAAACCAAACAATGAGAGTATTAGATTTAAAAAAGAGAGAGCATGAGCAAAAAATCAGGAGCCAGAAGACCTGCATCTGACCCTATCTTACTAGATAGTTTATGTGACCTTAAGTACGCCCATGAGCCTCAGTTTCCCCACCTAGTAAAAAACATAGTTGGACTAAAGGACTTCACAGTAAGGACACAGCCATTCCCATGACAGGCCATGTCATGTCCCATACATGATTCTCTACTACAGCTGTCACCGTATCCTGGAAATCATCAAAATCATAAAATCCTCTTTTTCTTAACTCGGCAAGAATTCCTTCAAAGTTTTTGGTAATGTACTTTCAAAGCAAGCCCTCCCAGATCATGGGGTGATGATTCCCACTGGAGGTTACCTTCCCAGTGACCTCCACACAAGAGGTAACTGTATCTCTTGTGTTTGGGGCAGGGTCGTAGGAATGGTGAAGGACTCAAAACCCTACTATTGGTCTAAGACGGTGCCTTGCTTTGTAGCTGTCGCCCCACCCAAGCTGCTATTATTTGTCAGCAGGTCACATAAATTCACATGCCAAGGATCCAGTTACGTGTGCTGAATAAGATGCACTAATATGTATATTTTCTTCTTTCCTCCCAGTGGTCAAAATCCAATTTCTATGCAAATGCTTTAGACAGAACATTTATATTTTTAACAAGTATAAGACTTCAAATTTAATAGGAAGATTTGAAATCACTATTATAAATTGCACTGAATTTCTCTGGTGCATAAGTAGTTTATCTCATTCTTACTTATTAAGACTCACTTAAGGGCTTAATGACATGTATTCCAAGTCTCCCAAGGACTGGCAAAAGCCACAGAAACTAAGGCAAATCTCTAGTTCACTTCCTAATATCCCAGGAAAGAGATGGGCATAGAGCTTCCTTGCTTGGTGCCCACAGTTCATAATGCATCCACTTCATATGTGTGTTAACGGGCCTACTCGAGGTTATTTTACAGAAGAAATGGCTCAATTTGGCCAACTACTTTTATTTTGGAATAAGTAGGTTCTCTATGGATTCTGACAGGTCAGACAAGACCTTATAAATAATGACAAGTCCCCGGATGTATGTACAGCTAGTTTCCACACTTTCTTCAAATGTCTCCTTGGGTATCATCTTTGAGAGAAGTCTTCTCTGCCCCATATAAATGCAGCTCTTTTATTCTGCTTTAATTTTGTTCCTACTTTAATTTTTTTCACATTTTAGATTTTTTGTATATACCAAGGAATGTCTGCGTCACATGGTAGTTTGTTAATTCATTCATTTTTTCTCTTTCTTTTCTTTTCTTTTTCTTTGAAGATGGTCTAGCTTTGTCACACAGGCTAGAGTGTGGTGGTACAATCTCAGCTCACTGCAACCTCAGCCTTCACCTCCCAGGCTCAAGCCATTCTCCTATCTCAGCCTCCCACATAGCTGGCACTACAGACGTGCTCTATCATACCCAGTCAGTTTTTGTAGAGACAGGGTTTTGTCATGTTGCCCAGGCTGTTTTCAAATGAGGCAAGCAATCCTCCTGCCTCGGCCTCCCAAAGTGCTGGGATTACAGTCATGAGACACCACATCTGGCCTACTTTTAATTTCTTTAGGAACCTCCGTGCTGTTTTCCAAAATGCCTGCGTTAATAATCCACATTCCCATCAACAGTGTTCAAGGGTTCCCTTTTCTCCACACCTAGGCTGACACTTGTCACCTCCTGTCTTTTTTATAATAGACATCCTAACAGGTATGAGGTGGTATCTCATGATTTGCATTTCTCTTATGACTGATAACACTGAACACCTTTTCATGTACCTGTTGGTCATTTTAATGTCATCTTTGGAGAAATATCTATTCAAGTAGATAGATAACTCTCATTTTCAGCTAACAGGGTTTCTCAAAAAGGAAGGCACCTGCCTGAGCTACCTCTGGACTACACAGGTATTCATGTCAGTAGGTCACCGGGGCACTTACTGCTGGAGAAGTTAGTTTCTTTCGGACTGGATGACATCGGCTGTGCACAGAGTTGACAAAGGCAGTCTCTCCCATTGAATGTGACTCGGTCTCCGGGTGGAAACGGACGCCTGGAGACAGAAAGACACAGCCCTCAAGGTTATTGCAGCAATTTCATTCCTTTTCCTTATTCCTTCTGCTTGCTGCCCTCCGGTGCTCATTTATTTCTTGGAGAAGCAGCAGCCAACACGTCTGAAACACAGTCATAACCAAGCCAGCCAGCTGGAGACAGTCCAAACAAATAAATGTGCCTCATTTTGCGAAGGGGAATGTACCGGTTCTAAGGGCAACCAGGTAGTAAAACGGAATGATTTACCTCCACTCATTAGCGAAGAGATGTTCCAACAAGTCACCTAGCAAAGCACACAGAACAGTAAATTTCCAAATGGAAGGTCCTTCATGAAAAAATATTTTAAATACCATAAATTCCCAGTGAAGCTTAAGGCACCGCCCCAGGAGAACTGGCTACAGGTCAAGCAATAAGCAGTAAGTCTTTCGGTTCCCTGGGACTGTGCCTAGAACTCCATGATGATTATGCCGAATTAGATTTTGCTGGACATCTACATGGGTGAACTGAATGTTTCATGGTACTGGAGACCCAGTTCCTTATAAACTGGGAGAAGCAGGACAGGCTGTAAATATCCGTTTAAGAAATCATATTAGCTTCATTTCAGAAAGATAATTTCTCTTCATAGTAGGTGTTCATCAATAGCAGCATATTTGGCAAAAATATTGCCTTCTGCATGTAGGTGATCAGTTTCTTCTCCCAGGTGACCAGGCAGACAGCCTTTTAAAAAAGTCAATAATTAGTAGACATATGACAGTTTCTATGCCCACTCGCACTTGGCCCATGAGCCAATAATCTCCATCAACGTGATTTTTCAAATGTGTGATGCTGTCAGTTAGGAAATGTGAAACTCACAAGCCGAACGTCACCACAAATCTGAGTCAGAAGACATTACTTCAGAGCAAATAGCAGCTTTTGGACATTCATTTTTACTTCCACAGCTGTTATGTCCCTTTAAGTTGCCCCTCCGTAGCCTAACAATTGGCAATTAACTGTAATAAACGCATAGAGGTAAATTTGGACTAAAAACGACCCCACAACTGTGGTCGGTTCCAGTCATCACGGAGAGTTTTAAACTCTTACACCCTTACACTTTAGAAGTCCTGAGGACAGTTGGTGTCCTCTCCACGCGCAGTGCTATGTCACTTTCCGTGGTACAGCGAAGGCTCGGAGAGGTGGAGTAACATGCCTGGATTGACCAGCTAGGGAGATCAGGCCACAGGCAGGTGCAGCTGGCATCCACCAACTCAGAACTTGTTTTAAGAATAAAAAAATCACACTCTGCTGGATGCCAGTCACCCTGCTGCTTCACATTCATTAGCTGAACCTCAACAAATCTTAAATCTGTTCTGTAAGGAAGGTGTCAGGAAGTCAAGGACCCACTTGACACGAAAAGCACAGGTTCTTTTGCTTCTGACCACGCCAGGCACAGCATTTAAAGAGGGACTCATGCTCCATGGCTGACCCTGCACTTGCAGGATGCTGAGATTAAGTGCCTTCTACATGTTGCATCCCCCAGAGGCACCTCACTTACCCCACCCAAGCCCAAGGCTTCCTTCCCATCCAAGCTTATTATTTTAGACCCAAGTCTCACATAGATCCTTTATGGGACAAGCCAGAATCCAGTTCTCAACTTGGGCCAGGCCTTCTGAAGTGTGAGTTTTGTTGTTTTGTAAATATCCCTTTTCAGGAATTTCCTCCCTCCCTGTATCCTCTTCCCTTACTGGATAACTTCCTGCTTTTACTTGCATAATAGAAAGAGACCTGGATTTAGAGTTAGAAAACTTGAGTTTAAACCCATTAACTTGGGAATGTCCCTTAAACTGTGAGCCTCAAAGTCACTCTAGAGATATTAACTCCTGGTTCCCATCACAGAATGCTAAGAGGGTTAAATTAACTTATGTATGAATATAACTTATTAACTATAAGGGAGGCCCCAAATTCAAGCAGAATTATTGTTATTCAGCAGCAGGAGAGGCCGTAGTAACAGTAAGAACTCTTTTGCTGCCTCAAATGTCCAGGGACAGGGTCATAGTTAATAAATCTTTGCATATCATTATATCAACTTCAAAGCAATGACCTCTCAGGGTCAGGATCAAGAGAGTTTACTGGGAACAGGGCCTTCCAGCCTGGCTGAGTAACATACTTGAGAACTCTCCAGAAACTACTAAATTAGCATACAGGTTTTGGTGGAAAATAGGCTAGAAATGGATCTTTGTAGAGAGACCCCCATCTCTAGGCCATTCCCACCCCATCCGGGAGATTCCAGTGATCAGCCAGGCTTGAAAAATCACTCGCTTCTAGTTCACAGCCTCTCATTCTAAGGTGGAGGCAATTGCCTTGAAAAAGCTAATTCACATAGGTCTCAACGCAACCTGGGAAGTAAGACTAGGACTTGAGGCTCAGTGCCAGCCCAGGACTCTTAGCCAGGCTGTGTACCACAGCCTGGAAAGGGAAAAATCAGGAAAGAACTCTGCTTTTGACTAAATACAAAAAAATATTCAGTTTATTCATCCAGAATTTTAAAATTATGAAACTTAAAAAATGAAATGGAGAAATGAGCGAATACATAGCTATAAAGATATTATGAATGTTTTGTGTCTTATGATTTATTTATCAGTATTATCTTGTTAGTTACTTATACAATATTGAATCTACCCTTCTAGAGCTTACATCTCTCTGTCTTAGAAACATAAAATGCTGAAAAGCAGACAACACGTCTCCTATGAACTGGGATTTTTAGAAAGGCATAGCAAATAGATCACCACTTCAAAAGGCACTGGATTGCCAAACTGCCAAATTAGAATGGATCAGTAAAGCAGCTGTCCCTTGGTGGTGATTCCTAGTTACAGGAATCAAACCTATCTTAGTTTTATAACATGCAGCCCTCAAAACACAAAAAACACCATGTTTTCTCACTCACACTACTCTCTGGTTGATCATTTTATTTTATTTTTATTTTTATTTTTTTTTTGAGACGAAGTCTTGCTCTGTCACACAGGCTGGAGTGCAGTGGTGTGCTCTCAGCTCACTGCAGCCTCCACTTCCAGGTTCAAGTGATTCTCCTGCCTCAGCCTCCCAAGTGGTGCACCACCATGCCCAGCTAATTTTTTTGAATTTTTAGTAGAAAGGGGGTTCAACATATTGACCAGGCTGGTCTCAAACTCCTGATCACTCAGGTAATCTGCCTGCCTTGGCCTCCCAAAGTACTGGGATTATAAGGGTGAGCTACCATGCCCAGACTGACTAATCATTTTAATCAAGCTAGTTTGCACTATTAAGATTTAACCTTGGTAGATGACAGATACGTAGAGAGCAGAGGTTGGCAAATATTTCCCCCTAAAGACGAGGTCGTATATTTTTTAAGACTTTGCAGACCATAAGGTCTCTGTCACAACAACTCAACTCTGCTGCTGCAGTGCGGAAGCAGCCGTAGGACACACACAAGAGTGGGAGTGGCTGCGTTCCAATAGAACTTTATCCACAAAAACAGGTATTGGGCTTAATTCAGCCCATGGGACACAGTTTGCCCCCCTCTATTATAGATGAAAGAGACCATTTTAAACACACACACGTGCCTAAGAATTTATACTTCCAAATAAGCTTTATCCTTCTAAGCAGTTACACCATTACCCCCGATGCTTTTATTGCCCAAAAATGTTTTGAGAGCCAGAGCTGCTTCAGAATTGGTTTCAGTAGTCTTAAAATCAGTCATATTGGCCGGGCGTGGTGGCTCAAGCCTGTAATCCCAGCACTTTGGGAGGCCGAGGCGGGTGGATCACAAGGTCAAGAGATCAAGACCATCCTGGTCAATGTGGTGAAACCCCATCTCTACTAAAAAATACAAAAAATTAGCTGGGCACGGTGGTGCGTGACTGTAGTTCCAGCTACTCGGGAGGCTGAGGAAGGAGAATTGCCTGAACCCGGGAGGCGGAGGTTGCGGTGAGCCAAGATCGCGCCATTGCACTCCAGCCTGGGTAACAAGAGCAAAACTCTGTCTCAAAAAAAAAAAAAAAAAATCAGTCATATTACTTTGCAGAGGACACCACGCATCAGTTTCCAACTAATCTACTTTTTTACTAAGACTGATAGATAGTACAGTAAGAAAGAAGTCTAAGGATAAGACTGTGTGCTACTCAAATCAAAGGTATATAATCCAAGCTCTAACAGCCCCAACCAGCATTTCTCTGTTGGAGGAAGCTGTAGGCTTTGGAAGGATAAGCTCACTTACTTGCAGATAGTACAAGCAAAGCAATTGGGATGGTAGGTCTTGCCCAGAGCAGTCACGACTTCTCCTTCCACGAATTCCCCACAGCCATGGCAGCGTGTCCCGTACATCCGCTGGTAGTCCAGGGTGCAGAGATACTCTCCGTTCTTTATGAAGAAGCCCCCTTGTGCCAGGTCACAGCCACACACTGTAGAAAGAAAAGTTCACATCTGGTCATTATCTGCCACACTGCTGAGCAGCACTCCTACTGAATACTGACTGGTTGCTTACTCTATGATCTCAATGGTTTGGGGCTAGGGAGGGGACTGGTACAAAGAGCTATTTATTATTGGGCTCTGACCCTCCCCTTGGGAGCGATGCAATAGCTCATACGAGTAAAATCCACTGGCTAGGTCTCAATGGCTTTTGTGATATGTCTAAGATTTGGAGATAATCAAACACCCTTTGATAGAAAGATACCCTTGGTTCAGGCTGTCTCAAATATGAACAAAGGTGTCCCTGGCAGTGCGCTATTTAGGAAAGGTGCCCACTGCCTGCCCACACAACTTCATGGTTTGGGCCAAGATTGTTGTGGAGTTGAATAATAAATTTCCATTATGCCAAAAGCAGTAGCTGGAATTTCCGATAGCTATTTTTTTCACACTCTGGAACTACTTTCCCACTGCTATGAAACATTCAGACATTTCATTTTCTCTTTGTGCAGTAAATAGAATGAGCCAATTATTTATATGTTATGGAGAGAAAAAAAATGAACAGGCAAAGGAGGAAAGACCTGTCATTTGGCTGCTTTATTGTATCTGGATTTTGGCATCTCTTTCTGACAGTACAGCTGTGGATTAGGGAGATGGTGCAAACAGGCACTGGGAGCTTGGGCCTGGTCTACATGTTCAGACAAGACCAGAGCAGGTCACAACAACTTGTCTGTAAATAAAACCCAAAGCAATCCCTGACAGTAAAGGTTTTTCTCTGCCAAGGCTGAGAAGCAACAGCCAAAGCTGGAAATCTCTGACCTTACCCTCGCTAGCCCTAAGGTCAACTGATTCCAATTTACAATACCTTAGGCAAGGAGTCTAGGATTCTTCCTGATTATTTGGTACTCAGTTGGGGTGGAGACAAGGTGAATTCAATCAATAAACTGCTTTCCTGAGGACCTGCTGGAATGCTTTGAGGGTTCATCTGCTGAGTTCCCATGACTCCTTAATGCATCTAGATGAACTAGGGCTGAGCAACAGGAAGGTTCTGAAGAAAATCACAACTGCCCCACCTTCAGTCAGGCCTCTTCACTAACTACAAGCTACTGAAGACATTCAAGGTGACCTGGAACCCACAGACAAGCTTTCCATTGTGGATTCACCAGTCTTTGTTTAGAGCAACACTCCACAGCCATGACCTTCTTCTTTGCAATTCATTATTAAGTAACCCAACATTATGGCCTGAGTCCATCATGCCTGAAACTGACCAGCCTATAAATACTCCTGTGATCATATTATCTGGAAAACAGCTCGTTCACCACCTGCTGCCTCCTCTCACCTACCTGCCAGCCTCTCCTCTGTCCCCACTGTTCTCGCACCTGCTTCTTCCTCCCTAAATGGGTCCTGTGGGTCAGGGAAACCCACATATGGACTATCCTCATTCTGATTGAAAATTCCTTCAGCAACAATATGCAGTCTGGGTGTAGAGGGTCAGAGAACCTTAGAGTGTTTTCTTCAATATCTGTCTGTGTACATATCTTCCTTTTCTAGAAGATGGCAAGGTATTTGAAGGGTGAGAGTCTTCTTTTGATTCTTCTTCAGGAACCTAATTGTATCTAATATACAACAGGAAATGCAATGTATGAAAAAATTGAATCCTGCCTGACACTTGGCGCTCCCACTGATTTCACTCCTCAGTGACATCAAGTTCTGATGACTGTTATTTTTCCAAACTTAGGATTTCTCAAAGCCATGAGAAGTGACAAAACAACGCATTTGGATTACTGGTAATTCCCCAAATTTTCTCCTCCAGTCACCTATGGTTTAAAAATGCAGTCTTTATACAAAGATCTGGTGTCAATAGGGTGATCTGGTGGCAATACACAAAAGTAGATTGAGACAGTTTCAGAGCCAATTCTAAATGTTTAGAAATTCTTTGTATTTATTGCTTTCTTAGGGCACCTCTCTGCAGCCTTTTCCAGATCATATGGTTTTATGAAATTGACATACACTATCCTTTATTAATAAAGTCCTAGTTTCTATGAACATAATGTAGCCTTAAAAAATGAATTCTTAGCACTACTGAGAGATGTTATGCTACATTCAAACTGTGCCCTATAATGATTTGATTTGGCTTTTTCCTTAAATTCAAAGTAGTGCTCAAGGTGGCGTACCAAAGCATATCATTATTTCTGGTGGTTTATACAAGGAAACCAGTGTTTGACAAGATTCACAGAGGCAGGTGTTCTTAAAGGCATATATAACAAGCAGTGAGAAGGGGAGCCTATGATGCCGATACCTAAAAGATACTTAACATGATTACATTTGCTAAGAATGGACCAGCTGTCACAATTTCAGACTCTTGCCTCTCCAGCCTCCCCAGTCTTTACTTTCCTGTTTTTCCTCCTCTGTCTACTCCTTCTTAGTCTCGGCAGCCAGATCCCTAAATGCAAGTCATTCCCATGGGTGCCATCTCCTTCCTCTGTAATCTAAGGCCTCCCTGGGAACAGACCTCATCCACTCTCATAGCCTCACTTATGACTTTATGCAAGGGATGCTCAAATCAGTGATCTCTCTCTGATGTCTTCCCCAAGCTTTAGACGCTGATTTGTAGCTGTCTGATGGGCACAGAGAGACCCCATGCCTATCTCAAACTCAGCATTTCAAAACACACCCTATTCTCGCAGTTTCTCTGCCATTCCCCTCATAAAACCTTCTGCTATTCTTTTTCTGTTCCCTTTCTCATCAAAATGGTAGCTGCATCCATTCTCTTACATCAACGTCAACATTTTCTTTTCTTTTTTTTTCCTTTGAGACTGAGTTTTGCTCTTGCTGCCCAGGCTAGAGTGCAATGGCATAATCTTGGCCACTGCAACCTCCACCTCCCAGATTCGAGCAATTCTCCTGCCTCCGCCTCCTGAGTAGCTGGGATTACAGGCATGTGTCAGCTAATTTTGTATTTTTAGTAGAGACGGGGTTTCACCATGTTGGTCAGGCTGGTGTCAAACACCTAACCTCAGGTAATCTGCCTACCTCAGCCTCCCAAAATGCTGGGATTGCAGGCATGAGCCACTGCGCCCGGCCAATATCAACATTTTCAACTGGACCAAATCCAACCCACTTCCCCAATGAGGTGTTTCTTATTATTATTATTGTTCTTTTTATGAGATGAAGTTTTGCTCTTTGTTGCCCAGGCTGTAGTGCAGTGGTGTGATCTCAGCTCACTACAACCCCTGCCTCCTGGGTTCAAGCAATTCTCCTGTCTCAGTCTTTCAAGTAGCTGGGATTACAGGTGCCTGCCACCATGCCCAGCTAATTTTTGTATTTTTAGTAAAGACTGGGTTTCACTATGTTGGCCAGGCTGGTTGCAAACTCCTGACCTCAGGTGATCCACCCCTCTTGGCCTCCCAAAGTTCTGGGATTACAGGCATAAGCCATCGCGCCCAGCCCAGTGAGGTGTTTCTTGGATCCAGTCCCTCCTCTGCCTTCTTGCTGTCACTACTCAAAACCTGGTCTTCAGCACTGCTCTGCTGTAGTAAAACATTTTTTAAAACAGCATTTGTATTGGCAGGAAAAGAAAAACAACAGGAAACAATCTAAACTTTCATTAGCAGAAAAATAGTTGAATAAATTATGCTATGTCCAGTCTAGGAGTTGGCATTAAAAAGAATGAATTTAGCCCTCTGGGTTGTGGATATTGATAGCTCTCTAGGTTGTAGACATTGATCTGTCTGTGGTATATTGTTAAGGGAAAAGAACAAATGTCACAGAGTAAACAATTTTGATAATCCTATTTTTAGCTATGTCTAGTTATGTTTTATGAACAGGGGAAAGTTACAAACAGAACCATTAAATTGGTTCTCTCAGGAGGATCAAGAATTATTTATATTTTCTACATATAGTCACATGTCAGTCCATTTTGCAACTTTATTTTTAATTGTGATGAAATACATATAACAAAGAATGGACCATCTGAATCACATTTAAGTGTACAGGTCAGTGGCATCAGGTACACTCCCATTGCTGTCCGCCCATCACTACCATGCATCCACCAAACTCTTTCCATCTTGCAAAACTAGAACTCTGTACCCACTAAAATCCCTATTCCCTCTTTCTCCAGCCCAGGGCAACCCCATTCTACTTTATGTCTCTATGAATTTAACTCCTCTAGGTTCCTCATATAAATGGAAGTTCACCTTTAATAATAATAATGTTAAGAAAAATTATCCAAAACTTATAAACAAGGTAAAGGAAGGAAAGCATGTTGTCTAAACGTCATACTGGAGCACTGTTTAACAGCTCGTACAAGGATTATTTCATTATCCAGAGGAGACCAGATCTGTGTTGGACAAGCCCTTTCCTATTGATGAAAGGCCCAGACTTTATAAGTTAATGTTAACTTTTATATTCTTGTCCAATGGAGATGCAGATGACTTCTGTCTGGTTTTATTATTGTGTTGAACCATGAATCAGTTTTACATCTAGCCCAGCCATCTTATTCTGACATTTCTTTTTGAATGTCTTTATAACCCACTTTTAAATTTTATTTTATATATATATATAGGGAGAGACAGAGACAGGGTCTCGCTCTGTTGCCCAGCCTGGAGTGCAGTGGCATGATCATAGCTCATTGCAGCCTTGAACTCCTGGGTGTAAGAAAACCTCCTGCCTCAGCCTCCCAAGTAGCTTAAGACTACAAACATGTGCCACTATGCCCAACTAATTTTTAAATTTTTTTGTATAGACAGGCTGCTTTCTTGCTATGTTACACAGGCTGGTCTTGAACTCTTGGCCTCAAGTGATCTTCCTGTCTTGGCCTCCCAAAGTAACGGGATTATAGGCATGAGCCACTGCACCCAGTCAATCCAACTTCAGTTCTCCTTGGAACCAACTTCACCATCCTGCTGGTTCTGTCATCAATAAGTTGAATAAATCTTTGATACATGCTCATTGCAGATTTGTACGAGTGTACTATATTTTTTGAAAATTATGCTTT